TGTAGCTGAAGAAATAAGACACACATGAAAAATGAAATGTACGGCAAGATGAAGTGTGAAACAAACTGCACCGGAGTACAGATGAAAGCAAGGTTAACTAAAGATGAAACAGTAAGGAAAGATTGCATGAAAGGGGCAAGTTTGAGTGCAATTTTGATAAACAGGTTGGCTTGCAAGAGGCAATGAAGAAACCACTGATGGTATGAATGAGGAGCATAACACACAGACTCGCAGGGGTAGAAAAAAAGCACAAACTGTGAGAACAAGTCTGCATCCATCTTATGGAATAGGATTCTATTGGAGAATAGTAAGGGGAAGTTAGAAAGGGAAGCTAAGGAGTGATTTTTGAATTATGGTGTCCTAAGCATCATGTTTTCTAGAGAAAATTGAATAGTGGTTGCATGCTGTTTTGAATAAAACATTTCTATGAAGGGGATAATTAGGAAGTCATCACACAATCCCAAGTTAACATGACCAGAGTCCACAATTAAGTGTGTGTGTGTGTGTGTGTGTATGTATATATATACCAGATATGAATTAAATTAATATTAAATTAAAATAAATATTAATATATATATTAAAGCTGTTCCTCTTGGAGGTCACAGAATTTATTTTACACAGAACACTGATGCATGCCTCATAGTTAGGGACTTCCTAAGGAATGGCTATACTAGACATACTTGATGGGCTACGAAGAATGATACAAAAGCAAGGCAGTGAAATAAGTAATATATGACGAAGCAAGAAAATAAAATGTGAAAAGGATAATTAGATAGTTAAACATAAATTATAATCAAATAAAACTGGATTGAAATATAGAAATTTGTGAAAAGAGGGTTCAACTAAGGCAGCCTATAATGTAATTCTAGTAGGTATCCTAAACCAAAATGACAACCAAAGGTACCCTATTTTCTTCATTCTCTTGGTCACCTAATCCTGCTAAAGAAAAGGACGGTTGTGTCCAGTTTCACTTCGACCTCAGACACAGGATTAGAACGAGTGTTGGTAGTCTCTTTAGGAATTCCAGCTCCAGGAAGACTAAAGAATCATCAAAGCTACTTTTCTAGAGCCAGTGAATGCCTCCTCATGAAGCTGGGTTTCTTTGAGAAGAAATAAAATTTCCTCTATATTAAAAGTGAATTTACTCCTTGAGTTCTTGGCAACTATTAGCAGCCTTAAGGACACAATATCCTACTCAGGTAGTGGAGATACACTCAGCCACTCCAGCCACTGGGTGGATGAGGTTCCTAAAAATGTGGGAGACAATAAACTATCACTTTCGTGAAGCGAATCAGCATACCAACAACAACAACAACAACAACATGAGAATTGTTGTGCTAAGTGTTTTGCCTACATGGTCTCATTTTGTTCCTTAATTTCCATAGCACCAGCAATGTGAGTTTTAGTTTATACCATAGAGTCAAGAACCCAGAGTACACAGCTAAACCAGAATGGCACAGGCTAGGTTTAAAATCAGGATTCTGATTCTAGTGACTTGACAGAGTCTGTTAATGTCTGACCTATAAGCTACTACCTCATAACTGTCTTACTTCCTGTTCCCTCTTGCCTACATTAGCACTTCTCCCAGATGCTTCCTCATTTCAGGCTGTACAACCTCACGTACTAAACCAGTAAGACTTAACTGATGCTTGGCTGCAGTCTAAATTTGAAGTGGGCAATATATACTTAGTGTATTCTTTTTGGCTTACTCCTTGATTTTCTAGAACCTAAAAAAATCTGAGAATCTTTTCTACCATTTTACATGGTTGACAAAACAATCAATAGAGTAATTATTTGCATGTGATGTTAAAACTATATGAGTTTTAGTCAGTTTTGCCATAACACCTCCATGTTCTTTCCTGCTACTATAAGAGTTTAGTAGCTGCAAAAAAAAAATTATATGGCCCATAAAGTATAAAGAAATGTTTTCAAAGAATAAAAGAAAAGCATCAAAAAAATGTTCATTGTATACAAAATGGAGGGGAGTTGGGGGCCTATAGGAAGCTCATAGAAAAATGGAATTAAAACATTTTGGTATAGAAATTTTGAAGTCCATCAATACAGAAATTTCGTGGAAAGTGAATATAATAGAAAAACAATGCTTGTCTTTCAATTTTTTGGTACTAGAACAGAAATCTTTAACTCCAGTTTTCCATGTACCTTTTGAAACCCACATAGGAACAGATCCAACCTTGAGCCCCAGTTCTGCCACTCTGGAGCTGCAGGGCTCATTCCATCCAGGCAGTTAAACTATTACGTATTTCAGCTTGTCTCATTTGAAAATGGAGCAATAATCCTGAACCTGTAGTTCTGTTGCGGCATTTTATTAAAGCAAACAGTAGGAGCCCGTTATACAATGACATCTACCCACCCATTGATGGTGTTTTTGTGTCCCTCTGTTGTTAATATCTGCATGTGCGCATCAAGGGGTACTGCCATCTTTGGTGACAGTTGTCAGATACTCCTATATGAAGTGAAATGACATTGCTGTGTAGGCGATGCAATGGTGGAATGAGAATATACATGGTGAAATGTAAGAGTCATTTCCACCCAGGTGAGCCTGAGTAACAATGTAGCTTTGACATGTTGATGGATTAGGCAATTGCAGTCAGTGAAACTCGCTATTTCACCCACCTACACCTGATGGGATCATCATGAAATTTGATATCCAGACTTGGAAGACTGCAAAGTGAATTAGAAATACTTAGTTGAGCAAGCTATTTCATTTCCTTCTACCAACTTTTCAGATAACCCTGGTCATACATGGTATAGGGAAATGAAAGTAAGATTTTTGTTCTTGCATTCTAACAGAATATCTGAGTTCTAGTTCATTTCGTATTTTATCTGCCCTTTGGTGACTAATACTTAAAATATACCTTTAAATAATTTGGGTTTTTAATCCATCAAAGAAATATTTCTCTTTTTTTCCTCAATGCTCTTCGGCCAAAAAGATTACAAAACCATACTCTAGGAGTGTCCAAGTCAAGCCTTCTGTTGAAGCACACAGTGACAAGAACAACTTTAAGTTCCAAAAGCTGTCATTTTTTCAGGGGGAAATGCCAACATCTTGCAAGTTTTTTCCTTCTCCTTAAGTTTTATGTGACAATGGCCTCTATTATAAACAAGTAAGTGAGGGTCAACCCCTCACCTCCCCTTTCTCAAGCCTGAAAATTTGTCACACTTCATCCCACAGTCTCTTTTCCTTATATATCTGATTAGGCTCTCTTTGTTCAGTTGTAAAATGCCCTTGGGAATAGGTAAGTTTTTTTTTTTTAACTTATGTGTTATTCTGATGGAAATATAATCTTCCCCTAATTTCTCCCATTATAATGTGGACACATATACTCCCTGGGGCTTGAGGATTTTTCCATCCCGCCTTTCCTCCATCCTTTTCTCTTTTTCCTTCTTCTTCATCTTTTTTTTTTTTTTGCTTTTTATTCCCTTGCCTATACTTCCCATGCAGATTGAGGGAACAAAACACTGTCTTGTGTAGGGATGTTTCAAAAAGCAAAGAGGCCTGGTGTTGAAGGGAGTTTTGGGGGCTGAGCAGTTTCATCCTGAAAAATAAATTTTGTTAGGGGCAGTTGGCTTTATCAATGGGATGGCACTGTTTGTCCCAAGGGAAATTCTGGGAGAAGTTAAGAAAAAATTTGGAGATAAGATTGGGATAAGGAGTCAAGAGTTCAGTTTCTACAACTCTCCGACCCTATAGGTTGTACTGAAGTCATCTCAGGAGTGAGGAGACTGTCTCAGAAGGCATTAAGTGATGGTTCAGCATCATTTGGGAGACAATGAGGTCTGAGAGTATTTCAGGTCCATTGGCCTCCTCCTGTTTTTATTATGACTTAGCAAACCAGACTGTCTTTGTACAGTCATGTGGTTCAGTATGATGAGGAACAACTGTCTCATCTGAGGCAGTATAGCCAAAACACAGAGCTGGGCAGTTACTTTGCCTGCCTCTATAGCTGTGTCCACAGTGGCACTGGGGACTTGAAGTGTTGGAAGGGGAACCTGGTATTTGGACCACCAAATATGAGGATTGAGATGAGCAACTTCTGAAACAAAGTATAACTCAGGAATACCCTGAGGGCACCATTGAGACAGGCTTGCACCTGGAATAGAAGCATCTGGTTAGCCTGAGAACAAAAACATGAAGACTCTCTATAGTCTGTGTGTTACATCTTGCTGGTTAAGTAGTGGCTGGGCAATTAAACAGCTCTGCATCATGGAAGTTCTGATATGGTCAGGCACAGGGGGCAGGTGTGGGAGCAGACAATACAGAGTCCAGAGCCTCATTTCTAGTCCTAATTCAGCTTCAGCTCACTAGGAGATTTTTGGTAAGTTTCTTTACTCTTTAGACCTCAGATTCCTAATTTCAAAGAGAAAGTGAGGTGATTACTGTTGCCAAACTCTAGGAATTTATTTTCCATTAGAATAATTCATCAAAGAGTTCTAATCAGAAGCACATTTTCTCAGCTGCATAAAAGATTATCCTATATCACTCTCCCTCTTGGCCTCCTTCCTCCTGGTACCCTTTGCCCTCCATTCCACCTCAGGAAGCAAGCACTTCCATTTCAGACCTATTTTCTGGTGCCTTCAAAGCTACAAGGCATTCTTGACTTCAGGGTTCATGGCAGATACACATTGAGCACTGCTCTTTGAATTTCTTCCTCTGAGTCTGGGTCTCTTAAGCTTCCCCTTGGCTTTCGCTTTGTTTTTCTGGTCCTAATTTAAAAAAAGGTACAGCTCAAGAGCAAGTGTGCTGAAAAGCCAGAAAGCCTTTTTCTGTGCCGGTGGATCCCAGCTTCCGCAGTGCCCTTCCCTGAGACGCCCACATAGACTCTCACCTAGGATCCTGGGAGCGCTGTAGACAGGAGTGTTGTACTAGGAGAGTCTGTTTTACTCAAGCCATAACTCAAGACAAACTTAGCTGACAGATAACCACTTATTGTGAAAATACGAAGAGTAGTCAGTGCACAAATGCCAACTCTGATACTCACAGTTCGACCGCATTCCTGGGGAGGTCGGAGGGGATCTCTGTCACCTTGCTTTCTTGGCAGAGGCAAACCCTGTTAGAGCAGTGACAGAGCCGCTGATGACAACCAGAGCCCAGGCTCAGGATTGCCAGCAGGGCGACCAGGAGTAAGGCCATGTCTATTTCTCCATCCACCTGTTTTCTTCCTGCCTTGGTGGAAGAAAACCTCCACGGATTTCAGAGGTGCCACACAGTGCCCTGAAGAGAAGGAATCTGCCTAGAGAACTGATTGAGCCACGTGATGTACCAAGGGGTGCTTTTTTCCCCCTCCCTCTCTTTCTCCCAGCCAAATAGCAAGAAAAAAAAATGCAAAATTCCTGTGTGCCAGCAGCTGCTGCTGGGACAAGATAAGCTGCTCCTTATCCTTCAAGATTCAGTTTCTTACACTCTGGAGAAAAAGCCTGGATGTATGTGTGTAACAGTTTGTAACATTTCGTGGTAGAAGTTCCTGCTGGTCACCGTTTTCTTCCCATTAGGGTAGACGATTGACTTTTCATGAAATAGGGACCCAGAAGGTGTGTATCACAAACAGGTGTGTATTGATGGGAGCAGGCATGGAACTGGAGGAACTGTCTTTAGTGTCAGCTTCTTTCTACAGCCCACCTGGCTTAAAACCAGACCTCCCAGGTCACTTTCTGTGGCTTTTTCTTTTCTTTTCTTTCTTTTTTTTTTTTTTTTTTTTTGGTGGGTTACTTTCTTTGATCCTGTTCCTCACTGCAATAACCCAGAATGTGTTTTACTTAGAAACAGGCAGGTCAGTTGGTGAGAACCATGGGTGGATCTCTGAGGGTGCAAGGCATTTCGGATAATGTTATCTGCTGAGAGAATTGACCACACTGGGCGAGCTAACAAATAGAGCATGCCTCAGCTATCCTCATCCCCATCGTTTCTGACTTCCCTCGGTCTCTGAAGACTGCCCTTGCATTTGGCAGTAGGCAAGATGAATTTATTTAATGGTTGCCTCTAATTTACTTTAAAAGAGTCCTTGTAGGTCAGCTTCAGGTGGTATTTCTGAACTCCTTTTAGGTGAGGGATCTGAGGAATACTGGTAAGAGTTTTAGTAAAGTGGTTTTCTGCTTTTAGTTCCAGAATCTGTGAAGATGTAAAGGCAGGACATTTTCCAAAATTCTGCCTATGACTTATGATTTGAAAAATTTGCTTGAATACTATTTTTAGATAATGAATTACTTTAAATTTTCATAGAGATGCTAAAAATAAGCATCTAACCCAACCCTCCTTCCTTCTTGACCTCAACACATAATGAATGAATGAGATGATCAAGAGAAAAAAAGACAGCAATTGATTTTGGTGGTGAATTTATTCCCTGGCTTTTCCTAGGAGAAATTCTAATTCTAGGATTGGAAGGTAAGGTCAGAATGTATAAGAACTCCATATTGTTAATTTTGGCTAATGTGACAATTAGTTCGCTCAACACCTATTCAAAGGAAGCATAGTGTTTCAGATTGAGAAGGGTCTTAATTAAATAATGTCTAAGTTTACTTTATAATATTCATACTAATCTGAAAGATTTCTCATCTGTGCTTGAATAATTCTAATGACAAATTCACTGCCAGTTGAGTCTTCCAACCATCTATTCCATTCCACAAGCCCCCCACTTACATTTTGGAGAACTGCAGTTATGACAAAGTTAGTGTTGGCATGATCAAAAATCTTCAAGTTATGAAGTTATACTGTATCCACAACGTAAAGTGTAATCTGATAAGTATAGCAATGCACACTGTGGGAAGAATGGACATCATTCCTCTGCATCTACTCATCAGATTCTCCTTATCGTCTCTTACTGTTCCTGTGCTCAGAGGTGACCAATTGTCTGAATTTTATATTTATTCCTTTTGTTTTTATTACTTTATTTACAAACATATTTTGTCATTTAAGAGACAGAAGGAGTGAGAGCCAGAGTGAGGGAGGAAAGGGGCGGGAGTGAGAGAAAGAAAGTCAGGTACTCATAATAGCTGGAATTAGGCTGGGCAGAGCCTAAGAGCAGGAACTCAGTGCAAGTGAGCCATGTGGGCGGCAGAAGTCAGTTATGTGGGGCCTCACCGCTCCCTCCTGGGTCTATGTAAGCTGGAAATTTAAGAGTGGAGCGGAGATCGTAACCCAAGCACTCCAATATGGGACATATTGTACTGTTTAACATTCCAGTTCCAACTACAATTTATGTTTTCCTTCTCTGTTTTTCTTGCCACAAGTTTTGGAAAACTTTCCCTCTCTATTCATTTAAAAAATATCTCTGACTTCAATGTCAGCTCATTACCTCTCAATCTTTTTTTTTTAATGTACATAAACTAAATTTTCCTACATCTGCATTAGTTTCAGTCTACAAATATTGAGGCATAAATTATACTCGAGTTATAAATATTTCTGTTTTCCATTACTTTGGGGCTTCATTGATTTGTGTACTTTTGAGAGTTATAAACTTCAGAAATATTCAAATTCATCACATTGTTGACCTTTAACTCGGTTGTATACTGGTCAAATGCTGCAGTCTATCATGAGTCTGTATTACCCACAACATGTTGAGAGTTTTGAATGACTTGGTACATAATTATTTCTGCAAAAATTCAAAGGGAAGAGTATTTTCTGCTTATTTGTTTCCTGGATCTGTCTGCCTAACAGATTTAACCTATCAGTCTTTTAAAATGTTATAAAATACATTGAAAATTTTTAGTTTACTGAAAATACTTCAGAAATTTCTCTTGGGATTCCAAATGATGATGCTTATATAAATTATTCTGATGGTGCTATTATTTTTTTCTTTATTTACAGGTTATTTTATTTGATACATACACATTTAGATTTATTATCTTGTCAATATTTATGTTTTATAGCATCTTTATGATATCTTTTCTTAGTTTTATTCTATCTGATAGTACTATAGATTAACTTTTTATGCAGTAAGTACTTTCCTGAGTTTATTATTTTTTCTGACTTTTCAATCTTTGGATCCTAGGCTTTTCTTTTATAACCTCTTATTAAAATGATTTTATGTGTTTTCAAAAAGGTTTAACTGTTTTTTATTTAGTGAGAGAAAAGGAGAGTGTGAGGAAGGGAGCAAGCTTTGACTTGCTGGTTTAACTTCCCAAATGTCCACAACAGTTATGTCTGGGTCGTCTAAGCTGGAAGCCAGGAACTTCATCCAGGTCTCCCACATACGATGGCAGGGGGTCAAGTTCTTGGGCCATTTTGGGGAGATTTCCTTAGCATATTAGAAGGAAGCTGGTTCAGAAACAATAGATGGGACTCTGAAAGAGGAAATAAGTCAACCTAAGAAAAGTATTCAAGAAATAGGGAATACTATTGAAAGGCCAAATGTAAGTTATGAGAGCTCCAGAAGTCACGGAAAGAGAAGCTGTGTTTAAGGTGTATTCAAAGGGAGAATTTCCCTAGTTTGGAGAAAGAATTAGGAAACAAAATACAGGAGGGGGCACTGAACTCTTAGTAGGGTTGACTCAAAGCAATCTTGGCCATGATACATGATAATCAAGCTCTCTTCAGTTGAGCACAGGGAAAAGATCCTTAAATATGCACATGAAAAAATCAATTGACCTATAGAGAAATCCCAGTCAAACTCAGTGCTGACCTTTTAGAGGGAACTCTATAGGCCAGGAGAGAATGGAATGACATATTCCAAATTTAAAGGGGGAAAACTGTCAGCCCAGAATAACCTAGCAAAGCTTTTTTTGTGTCTTTGAAGATGAAATAAAATTCTTCCACAGAAAAGCTCAAAGAATTCATCTCTTCCAGACCTGCCCTATAAATGATGCTTAAAGATGTTCTCTTGACGGAGAAAAGGAATAGCACCTACCAAAAACCAAAGGCAAATGTGGAGAATGTCCCAATAAAACAAAAGAAGACTAAATCAAACAATGAACAACCATTGCTAAAATGACAGGGCCAAATTACTACCTTTGCATATTAACCCTGGAAGTAAATGGCCTAAACTCATCAAACATCCTAGATTACCAGATTGACTAAAAAAATCCCTTTATCTGTTGCGTACAGGAGAGACATCCCACCAACAAAGATATGTGGAAACTGAAACTGAAAGGATGGAAAAAGACACTCCAGGCTAGTGGAAAAGAAAAATGAGCTGGTATAGTCATCCTTATTTCAGGATAATATAGACTTTGATGTGAATAATATTTAAAGAGATGGAGGAAAAACAATATATAATAATAACAGGACCCATTCAACAAGAACATATCACCTTTCTAGTATCTTAGAATGTTTTCTTTTTCATTTCTGATTTTACTTGGTTTTCCTCTCTAGCTTTTCTTTGCTAGTCTGGCTAAAAATTTGTTCTACTCAACTTTTAGAAAAGTGTCTCTTGTTGCAATTTGTAGTTTTTTAGTTTCAATGATTTTATAATTTCTTACTTCCTGTTCATTTTTTTAATAAGTCCTTCAGATGCATCATTAGATCATTTACTTGAGATATTTTGATTTTTGTAAGCATTTGATGTTGCAAATGTCCTTTTCAATACTATTTTTGCTACATCTCAGGGGGGTTGACATTTTTGTTTCCATTTTCATTTTTTTAAGTGTTTTTTCATGTTAATTTCTTCAGTGACACACAGGTCATACAATGATATCATTTTCTTCAAGAAGGTTTTCTATTTTCAATTCTTCATTGACACTGTCATTCAGTAGCATGTTATTTAATTTCATGTTGTAAATTTTCTACTTTTCTTCCTGTTGATCTTGTTTTATGGCTTTTCATTTAAGGGGACATATAGTAACTGTGTAATCGAAACTGTCATATCCAGATATGAAAATTCAATGCAGTATGCATCTCTGCTTGCAAATCAAAAATGAACTTCCCATGAAACTGTTAAATATATCTTGACAGTAGGACTCTGGACTCCCTGCCTTTGTCCATACCCACAATGTCAGGATACGCTTAAATAGTGGAATGACAGACTTATGTCTGTTTATGAAGGACTATACTATTGAAAATCAGTGGGGGGTGGGAGAAAGGGATCTAGGGAAGGAGCCTATGGAACTGTTTTATAAAATAATTAATTGATTTTTAAAAGTTTTTTTGTTTCTTATTTTTGTGACTGTTACATATTCCCTTTTTACATATACATTGGTTATTTGCTTTATTTCTCCTTCCATTTAGTGTCTTAAAGCTTACTTATTTTCGCTTTATTTGAATGTGCGAAATAGGGA